CGCCGTGACTGGGTGCATCCACCCTGGTCTCTGGTGAGAACAGGCTTGGGGCTTCTCCCAGGAGCAGGGAGGGAGAGGGACAGGGGCAGGACACATCAGGCACAGCACTCCGTCCAGCTTCAGGGCGCCGTCGCTCAGCTCACCTGTGAAACTCAAGAGTTATTTGTGCTGCACCTGCCCAAAACAGACCCAGCTCAGAAGAGCCATGAGCCCCCCACTCTGCTCACCCCCAGGCAGACGCAGCTTTACATGCCCCTCCACAACCCTTTACCTGAGCTGGGGTCACTCTTCAAGGAGAGGCTCCTCCTGTAACGATCGTTGAGGAGAGAAAGCATTGTTAGCACCAGGACACGTGCCTTGTGAGGCTGTACAGAGCTTCACAAACCACCCTGCCTTGCAAGCAGCAGCCTGGGGAATGAGTGGCTTCCTCACTGGGGTCCAGACCCAGCCACCAGGCTCAGTGTCATAGTTATCACCCCTCAGGGAGCCTTGTTCCTGGAGAAAGGCCTATGGGGAGCCTTCCAAGCCTCCAGAGCTGGGGTTCCTTGGGAGATGCTGGAGTAAAAGACAAGCTATGCAGGGCTTTTGCTCAGCCTCACCCAGCTAAGCGCATTGGCTTTGCACTTCCCACTAAGCTCATCTCGAGGCAAGGAGCTGCACAGATTAATCTGGAGCTGCCACAGTATGTGGCCACCCTCCCTAGCCAGTGGTAGCCACGACAGAGCCTGTACCGGATCCTGTAGCGGGTTGGGGTCTGGATATATTCCCTGGCTCTGTACTTACAGCCACAGCTCCTTTATCTTCTGTAGCACTGAGGGCTCCCGGTTCCTGAAATAACAGAGGGACCAGTTACTGCTCAGCATTTCCTCCAGTTCTCTTCCAAAGGGTGGGGGTTCTCCACCACAACCAGGTCATACCGGCAGAGTTTCCAAACTGGCACTGTCAGCGCCCAGCATCATGCTGAGGGCTCTCAGCCTGAGCACCGTGGGGCAGATGCCGCCAGCAAATCTCCAAGGAGAGGAGAGAACCCCGCAAACCAGAGACCCCAGCCCGTACCAGGGGACGTACCCATCCGATGACTCCAACCTCTGCCTTTCCATGGGCAGCACAATAAACCGCTGGACAGTGAGAAAGAACTCGCAGTCCTCCTACAGAGCAAACGGAGCCCATGAGGCACAGGGGAGTGAGTCCCCCCACCTCCAGGAGTGCTGAGCACCCATGAGCAGCTCTAGCAACCCTCCAGCCTCAGTGAGGGACATGCACAAGGAAAAGGCCATCCACTCCCCTTTAAGAAGGGGTTTCGGATACCCTCCTGGTCACTTCACAGCCCTTTTACTGTCAAGAGTGGTTAGTCTGCTGCTCTGCCTACCCCGCCAAGTAGAAAGTCTGAACACAACCATCATGGACAGCAAACAGGAGCAGACCAAGGACTAGCACCCAGTTCCAACAAGCAGCCACAGATCCTCCAAAAAGCAGCTAGCCTCAGGCCAGGAGTGCACCCTGGACGTGTG